AATATAAATCTTAATTTCAAACCAAATAAAACATTAGAAAGAATGCTTATAAACAATAAGGACAAAATAAATAAACTGGACGACAATGGTGTGTACATACTAGAGTGCGACACTTGTAAAGCAGCGTACATTGGAGAAACAGGCAGAAGCCTTAGAAAAAGAATAAGAGAACATAAACACAAAAATAACTCCAACTTCGGAAATCACTTAACATTTAACTCAAAACATGAATTTAACGAAGATAAAAATTCCAGAATCCTTCATCATATCAATAAAAGTTACTATTTAGAAATAATGGAAAACTATGAAATTAATAAATTCCTCAACAACTGCCCTGATGTAACATGCCTAAACGAACAAATTATACCTACAAGAAGACCACTATATACCTATCTCAAACAACCATACACACCTCCACGAAAACCTCCCGAACTCTAAAAATAGCTGCTCTCTCTGTACCATTATATTTTTCAGTGTGTTTGATGTAGGGAGTTGATATGTTTATGTTGTAATACCTCATTTTAACCTGTTGAAAATCAACCTATTCAAAACAAGAAAGTTTAAATTCAATACACGACAATCACATTTGACAGATTACCAACATTAAAATAGAAAATATACCATTGACAGTTTCAACATAACCTAAAATATAATAAAAAGTGATGTATGATAGCACATGTTTAGAGATTAACATTTTAATAGTGAATTAATTCAATAAAGTATCACATACATGTTTAGTTGTTCAAAAAATTGACGTAAGTTAAAATGTAAAATTATATAATAATAGAAAGTGTTGTAAAATTAATAACTTTAGGAACTCCTGAAGATGCTCCGAAAGGAGCGAAACCGGTAGAGTGATAATAAACACATTTCACCTTTAAGTGCAAAATTTGTTTAATTGAATTACCCAGGTGAAAAGAAAACAAAAATGAATATTTCATTTGAATCATTTCAAATTTCCACGTTAAATGTAACAGTTTCGAGATATTCTATATATAATTAAACTACTATATTAAGTGAGTTAATTAATTAATTTCATTGTTTTATATTTAACAAATATGGTTATCGTTGATGTATAAATTAGATTTGTGTTTTAATAGAGTAGAGCTCGGTTAAAATTAAATTTACTTTGCAAAATTAACACCTGCGATATATTTAATAACCAAATATCGATAGTTTTTATTCGTAGCCATTTTATATTCCAGTCACTTTTAATTCAAAATAAAGCCAACATATTTTTTGAACTAAAACTAGAACTAACCGTAACCTAAAACTAGAAACATTCGGTACTTAATTTACTATGTGCTCAATCTGCAATCCGAAAATGCAATTTTTTCAGATCCACAAATCGATTCAATTATCCGCAATTAGTCCGCAATTTTACACACTCGTGAAATGAACCCGAATATTTCTAGGGACTTCTTTTAGGACTAGTGTTAGCTCTAATGATAGTGGAAGAATTCTAGTTATTAGTATGAATAATAAGCGTTTATTGTTTATAATTTACAATATTTACGGTTACTGTGATTAATTGAAAACTATTAATTAAATTAATTAAACGTTTATTTAAATATGTGTGAACCGTGTCAAAAAAAAATGAGTATCCAAAAATAAAGGGTTAGTTGTTAAGCCCATTAAAAGCAACGAATTTAATTCGAGATGCCAAGTTGACCTCATCGACATGCAATCTCAAGCAGATGGCGAGTTTAAGTTCATTATGGTATATCAAGACCACCTGACAAAATTTTTACAGCTTAGAGCACTAAAAACCAAGCGCGCCGAAGAAGTTGCTTACCACTTGTTAGATGTGTTCACAATATTTGGAGCTCCTTGTATATTACATACTGATAATGGGCGAGAATTCGCAAATAAGGTAATTGAAGAGTTGTGTCACATGTGGAATGAACCAAAAATTGTGCACGGAAAGCCGCGGCACAGTCAATCACAAGGTTCTATTGAAAGAGCTAACCAGGATATTGAGAAGATGTTATCTACATGGTTGGAGACAAACAAAACTACAAAATGGTCGGAAGGATTAAAATTTATACAGTTCATGAAGAACAGAGCCCACCATTCCGGNAAAGTGATGTATGATAGCACATGTTTAGAGATTAACATTTTAATAGTGAATTAATTCAATAAAGTATCACATACATGTTTAGTTGTTCAAAAAATTGACGTAAGTTAAAATGTAAAATTATATAATAATAGAAAGTGTTGTAAAATTAATAACTTTAGGAACTCCTGAAGATGCTCCGAAAGGAGCGAAACCGGTAGAGTGATAATAAACACATTTCACCTTTAAGTGCAAAATTTGTTTAATTGAATTACCCAGGTGAAAAGAAAACAAAAATGAATATTTCATTTGAATCATTTCAAATTTCCACGTTAAATGTAACAGTTTCGAGATATTCTATATATAATTAAACTACTATATTAAGTGAGTTAATTAATTAATTTCATTGTTTTATATTTAACAAATATGGTTATCGTTGATGTATAAATTAGATTTGTGTTTTAATAGAGTAGAGCTCGGTTAAAATTAAATTTACTTTGCAAAATTAACACCTGCGATATATTTAATAACCAAATATCGATAGTTTTTATTCGTAGCCATTTTATATTCCAGTCACTTTTAATTCAAAATAAAGCCAACATATTTTTTGAACTAAAACTAGAACTAACCGTAACCTAAAACTAGAAACATTCGGTACTTAATTTACTATGTGCTCAATCTGCAATCCGAAAATGCAATTTTTTCAGATCCACAAATCGATTCAATTATCCGCAATTAGTCTGCAATTTCACACATTCGTGAAATGAACCCGAATATTTCTAGGGACTTCTTTTAGGATTAGTGTTAGCTCTAATGATAGTGGAAGAATTCTAGTTATTAGTATGAATAATAAGCGTTTATTGTTTATAATTTACAATACATGTATACACCAAAACCCTCTACACTTCTCCTACCCTCCGCTCCTCGCTCCAATCACCTCCCTCATTAATCTTTTGGCGTCACCCCACTCTCCTAAAATCTGCTTCCTGTCCATCACCTCCTCCCTCAGCTCCCTTTCAGCATGTGTTTCAGCCTACACCACACACAGCCTACACCACCTTCCCTCACCTCCCCATCTCTCTTGGATTGGATTGGATTTGATAAACTAGGAAGGATGGATTTGGGCTTTGGAAACTTAGTGATGATTCCCTTACAGAAAGGGGATGGACAACACAGAAGAAACAAAGGATAGACCATCACCACATAAACACAGTTTTTATTCCGTAAACAGTGCCACGGCGGGAATCGAACCTGTGACCCCCAGACTGGCCAGTCGAGTGCTTAACACCACGGCTACCCAGCTGGGTTCCATCTCTCTTCATTGCCACAGATACTTTGACAGTTCCTCCGTCACTATTTCTCCATACCTTATATTATATCTCCCTTCCCGTATCAGTGACCTACTTTCCTGCCTCTGTATGTCCATGTCCCTATCCCTTAGTTATCTCCACATTTTACCTCTCTCCACTCTTCTGTTGTCGGTCCCAGTTAGTGAATATACCACTCTCCTATAATATCCCAACGTATCTCCTTGCCCATATATTAAACTCCTCTCCTTGCCCATATATTAAACTCCTCTCCTTGCTTTCTCTCCAGCACTTTTCCCAGCCTCCACCCTTACTGCATCAACCTTAACCTCCTCCCTCACTACATATTCTGGAGTCTCCCTCGCCAACACTAGTATCCAACCCCAATACTTTGTTTGTACATCTTCCAGCAATCCTTGTTCTCTCCATTCCCATATTTCTGCGCCGTACATCATTGCGCTCCTCACCATGCTCTCAAACATAACGTTTTCTTTTCCAACATCCCTCCCAAAAGTTCTCTCCCCCATCCCCAAACCTGTCCCTTCACCCCGTTCGCTCTTTTTGCTATTGCCCTCACGTGCGACCTGACCTTATTACTCTCCGAGAACCCATATCCCAGGTATCCTTCTCCCCTCTTTACAGAACTTCACGATCTTTGTCTTCTCGACGTTTACCTCCAACCCCTTCNAATTCGAATCGATGCAAATGCAAAAAATTACATATTCTTTGTAATTCAAAATGTCATAAAACTCGATCATGCAATAATAAATAATTATAAATTATATGAGAATTAACTTATCTTTAAAGACTTGGTTTAACTTTATAAAGTACTTCAGCATTGAGTTTTTTTAATAAGAATTTATTCTTTAATAAGTTTTTTTTATAAAAACATGTTTGATATACAAAACTATAGTGTTTTATCACTTTAACCAACCACGTTGAGAAAATATTAATAATATCCGGTAAAACTGATTAATATATGGAGATTTATCACATTGCCTAATTGTTGTACTTATTATTAATACTAACCGGTAATTATTAATACTAACTGCATTTATTACTCTAACCGTAACATATACACCAAATCCAATCACCTCCCTCATTAATCTGCTTCCTGTCCATCACCTCCTCCCTCAGCTCCCTCTCAGCATGTATTTCAGCCTACACCACACACAGCCTACACCACCTCTCCTCACCTTCCCCCCTCACCATCCCATCTCTCCTCATTGCCACAGATACTTTGGCAGTTCCTCCGTCACTATTTCCCCATACCTTATATTATGTCTCCCTTCCCGTATCTGTGACCTACTTTCCTGCCTCTGTATGTGCCTGTCCCTATCCCTCAGTTTTCTCCACATTTTACCTCTCTCCACTCTTCTGTTGTCGGTCCCAGTTAGTGAATATCCTACTCTCCTATAATATCCCAACGTATCTCCTTGCCCATATATTAAACTCCTCTCCTTGATTTCCCTCTAGCACTTTTCCCAGCCTCCACCTTTACTGCATCAACCTTAACCTCCTCCCTCACTACATACTCTGGAGTCTCCTTCGCCAACACTAGTATCCAACTCCAATACTTTGTTTGTACATCTTCCAGCAATCCTTGTTCTCTCCATACTTCTGCGCCGTACATCATTGAGCTCCTCACCATGCTCTCAAACATAACGTTTTCTTTTCCAACATCCCTCCCAAAAGTTCTCTCCCCCATCCCCAAACCTGTCTCTTCACCCCGTTCGGTCTTTTTGCTATTGCCCTCACGTGCGACCTGACCTTATTACTCTCCGAGAACCCATATCCCAGGTATCCTTCTCCCCTCTTTACAGAACTTCACGATCTTTGTCTTCTCGACGTTTACCTCCAACCCCTTCGTCTTAAAATATCTCTCCACACAGAGTACTAAATAATAGGCATTTTAGAAGAATTCGAAAGAGATTTCGAATCGGCCATTCAAGCATTCTTATTGGTTAAGGATTAAGCTTTCGGATGAGATGTTTCATCAAAATCCTATTTAATTGGGAATGACTAATGATTCAATCTTAATGTTTGTTGTGAGATTGTAGGTAGTGATTTAAAAGTGAGTAAATAGTTGTCTTCTGATGGAGAGTAAGCAGGTCGCGTGAAATTTCGCTCAGATTTATGCACGCTCCGTATGGTAAAAAAGGGGCAGGCGAGCGGATAGGGAAAGAATTTTTGCCGCCCGACCGATAAGCCCGTAGGTAACATGTCTGGGCGACGTACATATTTTCCAGGCGAAGGGGCACTTATCGACTCGCAGAGTTTATATAAAACAGCAACGGCCACCGTCGTCGATCTGGAGGGGGCGACGGCAGCCGACGCCCCATTATTATTCATTATGTGCCGCTCGTAAATAAAGCTGACGATCCGCCTACACTAGCGGGCTTCATTCAGGAAATTGTTGGTCGACTTCTAATAACCGACATTTATTATGTTTATTTTTCATTGCCTATCAAGATTAATGTGTCCGCTAACTTTTAACGATCAAACGTATTTAGACCGATACTTCGTTTTATAAATACGATTAACTATGATATTAAATGTGTTTCCTATATAGCTTCGTTATTTTATTAAGTCTTCAATCGCGAATTAGTTTTATGTTAGACAAACAACAAACCGTTTTCCAAGTAAATTAACTTACCGCGTACTCCTCCTCTTTCATGTTGCCGTGCTCGGAGTGACCGATTGAACCGTTACAGAGACTGCATCCCAACTAATCTGAAAAGAGCAAATAATTTATATTTATTAAGTATATCTCATCAACACTTATTTAGTAAATGTTAACCTAAATAAAGGGAACCCATTAAATTACATCAACTTAATTTAGTTACAATCGAGTAGATCCATTCATACCCAAAGAGATTTATGTTACGCGTAATCATTTTGGTGAATAGATGTCGTATTGTTACTGATACAAGGCAAAAGCCATAAGAGGACTTTAGCACTACCAGGATTAGTTAAGCTTTTGAATTCTGAGCGAAATGGTCTATAATTTGAGCGATTATACGATGTTGTTCCGGTTGGAAAATTAGGTACAGCTCTGCAACGAAGTGTCGATTGTTCAAGAATCACATCTACAGTTTAATAAATATCAAACGTTCATAACTGATGATTTATATTCGAATAACAATGTTGTGCAAACTATAACTATATCTTAATATACTATCTATTAAGATCAATTCACTAAAACCCGTGTGACGATAGCAACAAACCTCCCCGCCACAAACTTTTACCCGTAATTTCCTATCTACTTTCTTAGCTGATATCTTCCTTATAATTAGGGTAGGCACACACGGTCGATTATTCATCGACGAAACATTTTAGTTGGATTGGTTTGAAATCGCGATGCATTATCAACTTATAACCGACTAAACTGTTTAGTTGTTCATAAATCGTGTTGTATGCACACACATATCGATTTCGAAATTTTTCAAATATTTAAAATAATGTAATTGAATTACTTTAATATACAGTGTGGTAATTAATTATCGTACTCGACGTCATCATTGAAAGTATGCAACCATTATCACAATATTGGTATTGCAATACACGATTTGCGTATGATGCGTATTGCACTGTGATATTGGTTGCATACTTGCAATGATGACGTCGGGTACGATAATTAATTAACACACTGTATTTAGTGTAGTATATAATTAACTGCGGTAGCAAAACGGAAAATAATTTAACTTAATTTTTGATATAAATTCACTTACCATAAAATAATTGAGAGAAACTAAAGTAGTAATCTCACTAAAGTTGCGCGCGCAACCTAAATTCCTAAAAACCTCATCTAAACTATCGGCTGTGTGCGCGCTTCAATATGAAGCTGTGGCATTATTGCAGTTGTACGATAGTTGCACAACTTTTTAATCATAAGTGCACATCGACTCCTTTTGATTAAAAAATCGAGTTGATCTGCAGTTG